CGCCGGCCGCCCCGAGCCCCGGCTCGGCCCCCGGGGCCAGCCTGCCCCTGCCCGGGGCACCCCCGGCACCCCTCAGCCTCCCCCCAAAATCCCGGGGTCGGGGGTGCCCAGGAGGGGACCCACACGCACCGCCGTGGCTGCTGGATGGCGGGGCGGGCCGGCTGCGGGGAGGATGCTCGGGCTGCGGGGAGGATGCTCGCGGGGTGCGGGCAGGGTGGACACCGCGCCGGCAGCTGCGGGGCTGCGGGCAGCGCGGTGAGGGTGCGGGCACTGTGAGCAAGGATGGGCAGGAGGCGGGAGGTGCGGCCAGGGCGAGGGCAGTGCCCTGGGGGCACGGAGAGGATGCTCGGGGGATACAGGCAGTGTGTGAGGGTGCAGAGAGGATGCCCCAGGGATATACAGGCAGTGCTCTGAGGGTACAGAGGATGCTCCAGGGATGCAGGCAGTGTGTGAGGGTACAGAGGATGCTCCAGGGATACAGGCAGTGTGTGAGGGTGCAGAGAGGATGCTCGGGGGATGCAGGCAGTGTGTGAGGGCACGGAGAGGATGATCCTGGGATGCAGGCAATGCCCTCAGGGTACAGGCAGGATGCTCCAGGGATACAGGCAGTGCCCTGAGGGTACAGGCAGTGCCCTGAGGGTACAGGCAGTGCCCTGAGGGTACAGGCAGTGCCCTGAGGGTACAGGCAGTGCCCTGAGGGTACAGGCAGGATGCTGTGGGATACAGGCACTGTGTGAGGGCACAGAGAGGATGCTCCCGGGATGCAGGCAGTGCTCTGAGGGACAGGCAGGAGGCTCGGGGGGTGCGGGCAGCGCGGGGCGGGCGCGCCCGGCGATGAGCTCACTGCAGTCTCGCCGCCCACGAGCGGCGGGGCTGGAGCCGCCGAGGGAAATAAAAGGGTGCGGCACGGCCCGGCCATGCTCGGCCTGGACGTGTGCGAGGCCGGCGGGCAGCTGCTGGAGCTGCTCTGGCTGGCGCTGTGCTACCGAGGTGAGCGGCGGCGGCCGGGGGGCAGCGCCCGGGGGCGGCGGGGGGCATTGCCCGGGGAGGGAGGGCGAGCATCGCTCCGAGCCCCCCGTGCGTGAGCATCCCCCGGGCATCCGTGCGTGAGCAGCACCCCGGGCCCGGGGGAATGGAGCGTCCCACGGGGGAGGTCCCCCTGTCCCCTGTGGCACCTGGCCCTGCCTCCCTGCCCTGCCAGCCGCGGGCAGCCAGCGAGTGCCGAGGTGGGTGCATCCCCGCGCTGGGAGTGCCCGCACGCTGCCGCGACAGCCGAGGGGCAGGGCCTCGGTGGGGCCAGAGGGGCAGCAGGGCCACTGCTCTGTCCCCATCACTGCCACTGCCCTGGGGACCCACATCCTGGCCAGACAGACCCAGACTTTTGGCCCTGGGCCCCGGGGCTGAGCTCAGGCAGTGTCCTCTGCCCCGTGCTGTATTCCCAGCGTGTCCCCAGGGATGGAGCTCCAGGGGCTTTGGGGAGCTCGGTGCTTGCAGTCACAAGAGTGGGGTGGTGATGCCGTGGGCAGGGAGAGCCAGGGGCTGTGGGGACATCACCCATGTTTGTGGTGCCCCTGGTGCCCCCCGCAGTCCGGCAGCACCAGAGCCACCGGAGCCACCATGCCAGCGATGCCTCTGCCCTGCAGTTGCTCGTGGTTCGGGTTTGGGGTGGGAGATGGGGCTGGAGGCTGCCCAGTGGGGCTGGAGGGGGCTGCAGGGCAGTGACAAGGACTTCTGCGGGTGACACGAGGGGGCCCTGGGGGCTGGGGGGGTCTGCAAGCACCCCCAGGCCGAGCACACGGCTCGCCTTGCTCCATGACCGTGCGGAAATGCAGCCGGCAGCGGCACCTCTGCTCCCAGCGGTGCCACCAGGCCCCGGGGACACCGAGCTGGCAGCCTCCCCCCGGCCCCGAGCAGGGCACCGGCCTGGCCTCCCCACGGGGACTCCCTGTCACAGCCCAGCCACCCCCTGCCCACCGGTGCCTTCGTGTCGGGGGGTGTCCCCGGGGTGTCCCCGGAGCTGCCACTGCCTGTCCCCCGCAGACATCATGGCTGACAAGGAGGGGGTGACGCTATCGCTGGAGGAGGAGGAGGAGGATGCCGACGTGGCCCTGGCGTACAAGACGCCGGAGAAGAAGAGCCTGCGGGAGATCCAGGAGCTGGACCCGGGGGATGAGAGCCTGCGGAAGTACAAGCAGGCGCTGCTGGGTGCCATCCCTGCCGCCGTGGGTAAGGCTGGGGCTGCGGGCGGCTCTGGGCACCGCGGAGCCCGGCCGCCCAGCCGGGGATGCAGCCGCAGCCGCCCCGGGGAGCTCGGGCGTGCTCGAGCGGGGGGCGTCCCGCGGGGCATCCCCGGCAGGGAGGGCTCATCCCGGCTGGAATCGCCCGCGGGTGCCGCCTGTGCCCCCCACCCGCGCAGAGACCCCGGCATTCCCCGCCGACAGAGCGCCGGAGCCCGGGGACCCCAGTTGCCGTGGTGACGGGATCACCGCCGCAGTTTCCATAGGAACGGCTACAGGGAACCGGGAAATTCATGGGGATGACTGAGAGGAGCGAACGGCGGGGGCGGGGGGAGGAACGCCGGGCTAGCACGGCTGCCGGTGACCAGACGGAGCCCCCCGCTCCCCGTGGCTCCCACAGGCTGCCCCTCCCCGGCCGGTGCTGCTCTGCACCGGGGTCCCTGGGGAGCTCCCCGGCCCAGCAGCCCAGTGCCCATCCACGAATGTCTTGGGAAAGGGCAAACGGGGGCAGGGGGGGAGGGGGGCTTGGAAAGCCGTGGGGTGCAGAGGGGTGCACCGTGGTGTGTGTGAGAGCTGGGGCCGTGCAGGCTGGGCTGGTGGGGTGAAGGAGACCAGTGCCCACCTCAAGGGATGCGCTGGCTGCACGTGCTGCCTCCTCCTCCTCTGCTTCCCCTTGTTCTGCTCCTGAGCCAGGGGATGCACCCCCTGGGAAATACGGATGTCTGGGTCCTTTAAACGTGATCTTACCCCAAAAGGCACTGCTGCCACTGGTGGAGTGACCTGAGATGCACCTGCTCTCCTGTAACACCCCCACCACGGACACCGTGGCCCTTCCCACCATTACGGGGCCGTGGCAGCCCCTTGGCTCGCTGGGGGATGGTGGACTGGGCACGGTGGGTAAGGTCTGGGCCCTGCTGCTTGTCCCTAGATGCCAGCGTGCCCAACGTGCAGGTGACAAAGCTGACGCTGATGTGCGAGCAGGCGCCAGGGCCCATCACCATGGACCTGACAGGTGAGCCCTGGGGACACCCGGGGGAGGAGGAGGAGGGGGGGGAGGAGGAAGGGGCACTGGGCTGATGGACCATCTGCCTGTGCAGGAGACCTGGAGGAGCTGAGAGGCCGGGCCTTTGTGCTGAAGGAGGGGGTAGACTACAGAGTGAAGGTGTCCTTCAAGGTGAGGCGAGTGCGTGGTGCCCTGTGCCACTGGCTGGGCATGGCCCTGCTGCCCTCACACCACAGTCCCCACCCTACAGGGTCCTTGTTACCCTGGACCCAGCCCCACAGGGTCTCTCTTGCCACCCACGGGTCCCTGCATGTCCCAGGGTCTCTGCCTGGGCTGGGGGCTGGGGGCAGGGGCTGGGGGACCCCCGGCCGCCCTGGCCCCACTCACCCGTCCCTCGTGTCCCCTCCTGGCCCAGTGGATCGCGACGTTTTCATGGTGGGCAGCTACGCGCCGCGGGCCGAGGAGTACGAGGTGGTGACGCCGGCGGAGGAGGCGCCGCGGGGGTGGCTGGCGCGGGGCTGCTACCGCGTCCGCTCCCTCGTCACCGACGACGACAAGACCGAGCACCTCTCCTGGGAGTGGGGCCTGTGCATAAAGAAGGCTTGGGAGGACTGAGCCCGCCCGCAGCCCGGCTCCCCCCGCCGGCCCGGGGACGCGGTGCCGCCGGCCCGGGGAGCCCTGGGCGGCCCCGCCGCGCCTGCCCCGGTCGCGAGAAGGGTGGAGGGGGGTCCCTTAGCGAGTGAGAGCCCGTGGTCGTGGTCTTCGCAACCAAAGTTATTTTTAATTGCTCTTTTTTTTTAAATCTCGACGCCCGCCTGATCCTCACGGCGTCCCCCATCGCTGGGGCCGGGGCTGTGACCCTGCCGTGGTGGTGCCGTGTCCGGTGCCCTCCCGCTCGCAGGCTGTGCTCTTCCATCGCCATTAAACCCTACAGACTGGTCTCTTACTGGTGTGTCTGTGTCCCCACCGCCCGTGCCTGTCCCTCGGCTCCCTGTCCCCATCCCGCTGCCGGGCCACGTCTCCCTGCGTCTGGAAAACGCCACCTGGTCCCGCTGCCTTATCGGGGCCGGGCAGCCAGTAGCGGAGGGCCACGAGCCCCAGGGGACCGGCACAACCCGCCCCCAGGTCCCTTATCTTCGTCCTCCCCCCTGGCCAGCATCTCCAGCGCCGGCACCATGCGCGGCTGCGGGTCCCGGCTGGTTTGGCTGCTGGTGCTGTCGCTGGCCTGGCTGGGCCCGGCTTTGGGGGGCGAGGATAAGGATGAAGAGGTGATAGAAGAGGAGGAGAATGAGAAGAAAGAGGATGAAGTGCTGTCAGATGAGATCAAGGAGGAGGACAATGTCCTGGTGCTCCATGAGCACAACTTTGCCCGTGCCCTGAGCGAGCACCAGCTGCTGCTGGTGGAGTTCTGTGAGTGCCCCACCGTGGCAGGGCTGTGGGCAGGGCAGATGTGGGGTAGGGACACAGGAGGGACGCTAGGTGGGGTGGGCAGGGGCAAGGCTGTGGGACAGAGGAGCAAGAGCACGGGCCATGTGACGGGGCATGGGATGGGGATGACACGCGGAGCAGGGACACGGGCAGAGCATGGTGAGGGGTGTGTAGCTTGGCGTGGGACACAAGACAGGGACACGTGTGGGTGTGGGACAGGGGCACAAGCTGGGGCCCAGTGGGCTCACGCAGCCACTGGGCTGTCCCCACACCTGTCCCCATTTTCAGTGCTGTCCCCTGCCCACAGACGCGCCGTGGTGTGGGCACTGCCAGCGCCTGGCTCCTGCCTTTGCCCAGGCAGCCACTGAGCTGAGGAACGAGTCCAGCCCAGCCCGGCTGGGCAAGGTGGATGCCACAGCACAGACAGCCCTGGCCACCGAGTTTGGCATCACCTCCTACCCCACGCTCAAGCTCTTTCGTGATGGCAACCGCACCCACCCCCTGGAGTACACTGGTAGGGCCGTGGCACCCCACAGTGTCCCTGGCACCTTCGAGGGGGACACTGCCATGGGGCTGGGGTGGGTGGCAGGGGCTGATGGTGGAGGGTGGCACTGTCCTTGTGGGGGTCACAGGGTGGTGATGGTGAGAGGGGTGGCAGTGTCCTGGTGGTGATAGCAGACAGGTGACAGTGTGATGTACGAGGTGATGATGGTGGGCAGTGCCACGGTGCTGGTGGCTGAGGTTGGTGGCACAGGGAGGGGTGGCAGCCTGGAGAGGGGTGCCAGGTGCCATCTGTGTGCCAGGCCGCTTGGACAGCCAGGGCATCGTGCGCTGGGTGCAGCGCCGGGCTGGCCCCAGCGCCACGCTGCTGCAGGACACCGACACCGCCGCAGCCTTCGTCAGCTCCCAGGACCTGGTGGTCATCGGCTTCTTCAAGGTGGGCTGGGGCGGGCCGGGGCTGGACCATGGCCGTGGCTGTGGCTGTGGCACTCACGGGTGGCTGTGCAGGACCTGAGGGGTGAGGCGGCCCAGGCGTTCTTCGAGGTGGCTGCCGAGATGGTGGACCTGACGTTCGGGGTGGCAGAGGAAGCTGAGCTCTTCCAGGCCTACGGGCTGTCAGCTGACACCGTCTGCCTGTTCAAGAAGGTGAGGGGGTGGCAGGGGAGTGGTGGGGCCATCCTGTCCTCCCCTCAGCCCTCACAGGCCCCTGCCCTGGCAGTTTGATGAGAGACAGACAAACTTCCCTGTGGACCCGGCACGGGGCCTGGACACGGCCGAGCTCATGCGGCTGCTCCGCGTCCACAGCCTGCAGCTGGTGATGGAGTTCACCAACGAGGTACAGCCCGTCCCCAGCCCTGCCACTGTCCCCTGACGGCCGTGGCTGCCCTGCCCTCATTCTCCTCCTCCTCCCCAGACGTCCAACCAGATCTTCGGTGCCAAGATCCCCCATCACATGCTGCTCTTCCTCAACAAGTCCTCAGTGGAGCAGCTGTCACTGCAGGATGGCTTCAGAGCAGCTGCTGGTGGCTTCCGGGGCGAGGTGAGGTGGCCCCGTGGAAGGGACATGGAGAGTGGCTTTGGGACTCCCCAGCCTCAGTGTCCCCCGTTCCCTGGCCAGGTTCTCTTCGTGGTGGTGGACGTAACCGGCCACGGTGCCGACGTCCTGCCCTTCTTTGGCATGACTGCTGCTGATGCCCCCACCCTGCGCCTGGTGAAGATGAAGAACAACCGCAAGTACCAGATGGAGCAGGACGACTTCTCGGCTTCGGCCATCCGCAGCTTCATCCAGGCAGTGCTGGACGGCAAGGTGAAGGTGAGGGTCAGCACGGTGCCAGCCAGTGCCCATGGATTCTGCCCTGTGGTGAGAGATGGGCTGCTGGCTCAGAGGCCTAAGGATGATGGTTGTGTGCTGAGCAGCAGGGACCTGTTTGCTGACACTCCTGCTGCCAGGCTTGAGGATTTGGGGATTTGGTATGGGCAAGGGGGGCAGGAGACTGCTGCCATGGGGGCACACAGGTGGGATGGCAGCAGAGGGGAAAATGCGGTCCAAAAGGCAGCACAGGAACATACCCCTGCCCCAGCTGGCACTGCCCCACGGGCCTCTGGCATGCTCAGCCCAGGCTGTGGCTGTCCTGACTGTCCCCACAGCCTCACCTGCTGAGTGCAGAGCCCCCTGAGGACTGGGACACGCGGCCCGTTAAAGTCCTGGTGGGGAAGACCTTCGAGCAGGTGGCTTTCGATGAGACCAAGAACGTCTTTGTCAAGTTCTGTAAGTGCCACCCGTGTCCCTCCCTGAGCTCTGCTGTGGGGCTCAGCCCCTCCACGACAGCCCCAGCCCTGTCCCAGACCCCTGGTCCATGTGCCCGCCCTGCAGACGCGCCGTGGTGCCCGCACTGCCAGGCCATGGCAGCTGCCTGGGAGGAGCTGGCCGAGCGCTACAAGGACCGCGAGGACATCGTCATCGCCGAGATGGACTCCACGGCCAACGAGCTGGAGAACATCACCATCCACGGCTACCCCACCCTGCACTACTTCCCCGCGGGGCCGGGCAGGAAGGTGGGTGTGGGCACTTGTGGGGTGAGCAGCACCAGGGGGGTGGCGGCACCCTCAGTGCCTTCCACTCCCATGGCTCCAGATGGTTGAGTATAAGAGCAGCCGAGATGTGGAGACCTTCTCCAAGTTCCTGGAAAACGGGGGGACGCTGCCTGAGGAGCCTCCGGTGAGTGAGGTCAGGGGACAGCCCCCCTGCCCAGGGCTGGGGGATGGATCCTGCAGGGTGGGCACAGGGACAGGGTCAGGCAGGGAGTGTGTGTCCATCCATGCCTCACTGCTGCCTTCTTCAGGTGACCAAGACCCCTGGGAATGGCACGGGCAAGGATCCGAGTGCACAGCGGACGGATGAATCCCGGGATGAGCTGTGAGCCCTGTCCTACTCAGGCATGTGCTATAAACCACCTGGAAACAATGTGGGCTCTGGTCTGTGTCTGTCTCCATGCGCTGGGAGCACTCACGCGTCTTGGGGACACAGCAGTGTCTCTATGCCCTGGGGCAGCTGTGCCTTAGCACTGATCCTGGCTATCCTGCAATGGCACCAGGTGGCCAAGGAGCTCTCCATGCTGGCCCTCGTGCTGCACCGGTGGGGTTCAGGTGATGGGAGACCAGCTGGGGTCTCTCCTTCACGACATACCAGACCCAGGCAACCCCCAGGAGCTGCTGTCACAGCCAAGGCAGGCAACAAGGGGTTCTACTGGCATGTGAGCCTGGCTACACCTCTGGAACTCCAGCACTGCTCCCTCTCTGCTGAGCCATTCCTTCAGGGGCACATGCTGGTCCTGTTGGGCCAGGATGTGCTCAGCCATCCCTCCAGGGAGCCCAGAGCGGCCCCAGTTCCACCCTGTGCCCTTCACCAATCCTGCCCCATCCTCTGTCCATCCCAGAGGCTGCTGAGGGCCTGGGCCTGCTCCACAGGGAAGGAAAAAAAGCAGCAGGCAGTGGGATGTGGGGTTTTATTTCATTTTATCCAAGTACCTTTGAAAAGATCATTGTACAAGTCAGCACATGAGAATGCAGAGGAAATGCCGGGGCTGCACGGCCACTGTACATATTTACAGGGACCCCCCAAAAAAAAGGAGGGGACGGAAATCTCGGTCATGCCAACAACCTCACCAGACACACCACCATCAGAACTTCAAAAAACGGAGTAAAACCCCTCGTGACACTGTTCCCGGGCTGAAAACATTTGCAGGTTTTGCTGGACTTCACACAGTGTTCTAGGCAAGTCCAGACCCGTGTTTAAAGGCACTCGGTGACGTACAACAGGCGCAGCCCACCCCGGCGTGGGGCCAGGGGGTCCTGGCAGCTCCACACTGCTGGGCTGGGCACGGCTCTGAGCAGGGCCAGCGCCACCCTGGACCCCTGGGGGGTGGGCAAGGGCTCCCTAAAGGAGCTGGCACAGAGCTGTGGCTGTGCTGGAGCAGCAGGGCCTGGGCTGGGCGAGGACAGGGTGGGGGAGCACCGGCACAGCCCCGGCTTCCTTGCAGCCGAGCAAGCCCAGGAGGCTTCCCAGGGCTGCATGAGCCACAAACTGGCATCAACCACCCCTCTGGTGCACTGCCCTCCTGCTGTCTCCCCTGAGACACAGAAGCTGACAAAAGATGCAGTACTCATAAGAAAATGTATTTTGTCTTCAGCTTTAATGTCTGCTTCCCCAATATGGCTCTCCTAAAGAGAGCCCTGCCTAAAGCCAGAGCTTGGCCCAGGGCTCTGGGCATGTCTGCACCAGGCACACGGGAGCCAGCGCTCTGCAGAACTGCAGCACCCTCCTGGGAAGCAATCCCTTCTCCACGGGGACACAGGGCACACACAGGAGTGTGCAGGCTGTGGGATGCCAGCACCCAGCCTGCCACCCTGGCTCTGAGCTGCTCCTTGCTCTGTGAGAAGCCCCTCATCCCACAGGCACTGACCCTTCTATCCCCCGGGGATTTACTCGGCTGCAAGGAAGCTCAGGAGGAGAAAAAAAGACCCATCCTACCACGTCCAGCAGCTGAGCCTGCTGAGGAGGCCACAGATGACTCCTTCCAAATGGCTCCATGATCTTCACAGCCCCTTTGGAGCGGGGTGCCCCTTCCATGCTGGTGGGGTGAGGGCAGCTCTACCCCACGGTGCTCCAGAGCCATCCACAGCAGGAGAACAGGGAGGGTGCCGGGAAAGCGCGGAGCAGCCGGAGTCTGATGGATGGCTGTACACTTTGGGTGAGTTCTGCAGTACCTGTATGTTTTACATTTACATAAGAGCACTGTGACATTGGAAATATTTTCCTTTTATTACAATATATCAAAAATATGCAGCTTTAGTAAACAAGGTCATATTACACTTTCTAATGCACTGTACAATGCTACATTACACTTATATTCGGTATGGAGAGGGAGCCCAGGCTCCCACTGGCAGGTTTGTGGGGTGAAAGGGCATCCACTGGCATCCTGGAGCTTGCCCAGATCCGTGCAGGAAAGCAGAGCTGCCGCCCTCTGCTCTGGGCTCGCCTGGTGCCCGTGGTGGCAGCACTGCCAGCATCCGCCCCAGGCCTTCTCCTCCGGTCCCAGAGTCCTTCACAGTCCTGTCCTCACTGCCCTGGAGCCTAATCAATCTTCTCCACCTTGCCAATGATCTTCTCTTCGAAGATGGGCAGGATGGTGTCATCCTCCCGCACCTCCTCGAAGACCACACCACAGTCGAACTCGTCGCTCACTTTCTTAAAGTAATACCTGAAAAAAACAGAAATGTGGAAAAGGGAGAGGGAAAAAAAAGCAGGTGAATGGTCACAGGGCACCATGATTCCCAAATCTGGGTACAGCCCTTCCATGGCTCTGAGCTTGTGGAGCACAAGAAGTTACTCCCTTAGACATGGAGAGAACTGAGGCCACACTCCTGCCCCTGCCCTCAACAGTGACCACAAAAAGTGGTCAGGATCCATGTTAGCATGGTCAGGAGCTCTGCCCTGAATCCAAGCCCATTCACAGCTCTCCCAAAAGCAGCGGCTGAGGCACCTGTGTTGGTGGAGCATTTCTAGGCAGGTTTTCCCATGGCAGCTCCTACCTGGAAGTGGGAACTTGGAGGGTTCCGACGCCCCATGTCTGAGTGCTTAAGGACTCTGACAGGACCCAACATCCCTACCCTCACCAAAGGGAACTTTGAGAGGAGCAAAACCAGCTCTGAATTTAGAGTCCCCACAGCATCACTGAGCACTGACTGCACCTGCCCAGGAACTCGCAGGGCAGCTCAGCAGCTCCTGTTGGAGGTGCAAACCACGATGCAGGACATTTCTGCTACAAAACCCAACCTCCCTCTCCCCTGCTAACCTGCCTCCTCACCAGCCCATGCTGCCACACCCCCAGCACTGCATGACCCACCTCCACCCACCCTCCCCTCTGCGGGGGCAACGCCGCTGTGCCCTGGCGGTGGCATCCAGGGGTCACCAACAGCCGCTGGCAGGTGGGGAGCAGCCCTTACCTGTAGTTCCCTTTCTTGGTCAGCAGCTCCTTGAACTGTCCCAGCGTCACCACGCGGCCCTTGACGAGGGTGCGGTAGGGGATGGGCTCCCCACAGAAGTAATAGGCCACCACGATGTTCTCGCAGGGCTGCGCCGCGCCGCCGCCCGGCCTCTTCTGGGGCTTCAACCTGCTGTGCACACACGGGGAGCTGCTCAGTGCCAGCCCAGGGGCTCACAACCCTCCTGCTGGGCACCTGGCAGGGCTGAGAGGAGCAGGTCAGGGCCCTGGGATGGGCTGGTGGGAGTGCAGTGCAGTCCCTGAGCATGGCTGCTCCCACCAGCAGCTCTCTGGGCACGCACACGCACCAAGACTGGTCAAGGAGCACTTGGAAAGGCTCAACGAGGCCAGGACAAAGCTACAAGGAGGGTGCAGGCTCTAACTCAGCCCCCTTGGGCTGTCTCCAGGCTTTGAGAGGGTACAGCCCAGAGCACCCCAGGCCAAGGCAGCAGAGCCAGGTCACCATCACCTCCATCACCATCTCACCATGCTCCTGGTGCCACCAGCACACAGGGCTGGAGCAGCATCCCACAGGGCATGATCATGCAGACAGTGCCCAGACTGCTTGGGATTATTGTCACCATGGCCAGAACAGTCCAGCAGGACTTTCCAGTGGCCCAGACCTGCAGGCAGGATGTTCCTGAACCCCACAGCTCCCCTGGGCACCTCTCCCAGAGTACGTGGAGGTCTGAGGGGATGGAGCTCCCAGCATGGCATGTTCTAGAGACTCTGCTGCCCATGCAGGGTGCCAAGGCAGCTGCCATCTCCAAAATCTCAGTGACTTTACACCTCCTGTGTATTCCCAGCTCCCAAAATGTTGGTCTGGTCTTTGCTTCCAGCCCACACACCAGGTTCAGCTATGTGGTGCCATCACTAGACTGAAACTGTCAGCCCAGTCCTCACCCTTTTCAGAGACAGACAAAAGCAACAATAATTCAGCTCAGGGTACTTTGCCCTTCTGCAGAGCCTTTCATCTGGGGTGCTGAAAACGCTGCACAAACATTGGAGCAGCCTACACAAATTGGTACCTTGGCATGCGTGGTCTGAGCCAGAGGCAGCCTTCCCTTTCAAAGTCACATAAAACGCATTTGGCAGCTTAAAAAAAATATTTTAAAAGCACACTGGATAAAAAAAGATGATTTTGTATTTACATGACTGGAAAATTGCTGTAAAAACCATAGAATCTGCCAAGCACATGAGGTAATCGCAGTTTTGGAAATGACTCTGACCTTAACCTTTAAACAGTGGCTGGCGGGCAGAGCACCTTTTCATGGTGTGCCCACATAAACACTGGCACTGCAAACCAACACCAGACACAGCCTTTCCACCTCTTCCTACAGGCATGAGAGGTCTAAAGTTCAGCTCAACAATATTCTGGGTGCTTGCTCTGCCTGTGAGACCTTTGGAGAAGATGCAGCATTCTGAGAGGCAAGGGTCTGCTCCTGGTGCCAGCAGAGCTCTCAGAGCCTCTCCCATCCCTGTATCAAAATACAGGATGCCCTTTAGCTAGAAAAACATTAAGGAATTGAGTCATCCTTGGAAAAAAAAATATAAGCCATTTAAAGGAAAAATGGGTCATAAATTCAGGCAAATTCTGTGAATCCTGTGAGCCAGAAGTTAATTAAAGGGGTTTGGAAAACCTCAAAGTCCCTAAGCTTCTCTTAATCCTGCCAGAGACAAGTCATGACTGCTGTGTGCCTGGGGACCTGGGGACAAGGTGACGAGCCTGGCGCAGGAGCAGAGCTGCTTCCTCAGGGCTGCTGCTCTCCTTTGCCTGGGGAGAGGGAGAGGACAGGACACCCCTGAGCTCTGCTGTGGCAGAAGCAAGAGGGGGACTGTGCCAGTGGCTGGGAGTGTCCTTCCTCCTGCTGTGCACTTCACACCTGAAAGGCCATTCCTGAATTACTCAGCCCGAC